TTCGCTCATGACATCATTGAGGTGCTCAAGCTCCAGCGCCCCGACAAGGCGGTGATCCTTTGCTGGACATTTGTCAATGTCTATCTTCCCCAAACTCCACCAGTGTTCACATTTGGGCATATGGAGTCTTCGTGTAGAGTTTGGTCCAGATCCATCATTGTTTGAGTCCACAGTGCTCTCTGGAGGTAGGTGAACTACAACTCCAAAACCAAAGGACATCACCCACCAGTATTTTCTGTTGGTCATGGGAGAACTGTGTGCCAAGTTTGGTTCAATTCCATCATTGGTGGGGTTCAGAAGGCTCTTTGATTGTAGGTGAACTATAAATCCCAGCAACTACAACTCCCAAATGACAAAATCATTTTTTGAGTGAAGGACATACATTGGGTTGTTAGGTGTCTTGGGTCCAAATTTGGTGTCAATTCGTCCAGTGGTTCTTGAGTTCTGTTAATCCCACAAACGAACATTACATTTTTATTTATATAGATTGTTATTATACTGTCACATTATTATACCTTCACATTCACTGAGATTAAGGGTGTGGGACCCTCACAAAAGTGAACAAAATCACAATTGAAAACTATTTTTGATCTCATAGACCACCACCTCTAGGAAGCAACCTTTCCACTAAAGGTTCATTATAGTCATGTTATTATTATTATTGTTATTTGAAACACAACACGATGAGTCCACAGCAGACACTCTGCTGGCTGTTGTATCGGATCACACGTTGGACACTTCCCAAGTGTCTAGGACTGTGTGATGTATTATATTTATTTATTTACTTTACTTTACTTGTATACCACAGTTTCTCAGCCCAACAGGCGACTCAACACGGTTTACAACAAGGATAAGAATCAATCAACGATATACAATTTAAAACCATAAAAGCATAATATACAATATTGACACAACAATAGACAACACAATGCATCTCATAACTAGAGTCGTGATCCAATCCGTCGTCCAAATTTCCATTCCTGTAATCATCACATTCATTGCACTGTTTAACCGAATGCCCGTTCAAACATCCAAGTTTTTAATCTTCTTCGGAACACCATTAGCGAGGGGGCTGATCTTACCTCCATAGGAAGGGCGTTCCACAGCCTGGGGGCCACCACAGAAAAGGCCCTGTCTCTCGTCCCCGCCAGTCGCACCTGTGAAGCAGGCGGGATAGAGAGCAGGGCCTCCCCAGAAGATCTTAGGGTCCTGGCGGGCTGATAGGCAGAGATACGTTCGGATAGGTAACTTGGGCCAGAACCGTTTAGGGCTTTAAAGGCCAACGCCAGCACTTTGAATTGAGCCCGGTAGCAAATCGGCAGCCAGTGGAGCTGGTGCAGCAGAGGAGTTGTATGCTCCCTGTGCTCCGCTCCTGTTAGTATCATGGCTGCCGAGCGTTGGGCTAGCTGGAGCTTCCGAGCCGTCTTCAAAGGCAACCCCACGTAGAGAGCGTTGCAGTAGTCTAGACGGGATGTAATCAGAGCGTGGACTACCGTGGCCAAGTCAGACTTCCCAAGGTACGGGCGCAGTTAGCGCACGAGTTTTAACTGTGCGAATGCTCCCCTGGTCACCGCCGAAACCTGGGGTTCCAGGCTCAGCGATGTATTGGCAAATAATGCGTGCAGATCCCAGTAAGGTGGCAGATGGTAATCTTGTCAGTGCCGATTGTGTTTAAGTGCAGGCCAAGGTCTTGAGGTACTGCACCCAGTGTGCCAATCACCACTGGGACCACCTTGACTGGCTTGTGCCAGAGTCTTTGCAGTTCAATCTTTAAATGCTCGTATTGTGTCAGCTTTTCCCGTTGTTTCTCTTCAATCCTGCTGTCACCTGGGATTGCAACATCGACAATCCATACTTTGTTTTTTAACACGATCATGAGGTCAGAAGTGTTGTGCTCCAAAACTCTGTCTGTCTGAATTCGGAAGTCCCAGAGAGGTTTCTGTAACTTTTTCCGGCTTGTGATTCTGCCCGTTCTTTGTCGCAGGCAGGGGCGGCTCGTCCATTACGCGAAGTAAGCGTTCGCAGAACACTTTTTTTTGCCAGGGGTGCAGAGGCACCTCTGTAAATGCCCCTCAATCGCCACTTGAGGAGCGCCCCCTCAGCTCACAACAGCCCTAGCAGTCCGGGGGGAGCCTCGGCTTTCTTGCCTCGCTGCCCGTCCTCTTCCCAAAGGGGCCGGGCCCTTGAGCCTCACCTAGCCCCTCTCGTTCCTGCTCCACCCGGCCACCGGGTGTGCGAGCAGAGCCGGTGCTCAATTGTTCTCTGCGTTCGATCCCTTCCCCATGACCGGCTCCCTTTCCCCTAGCGCTCCACCCGCCTCCTCTCCTTTCCCCAATGGGCGGAGCCGCCGCGCCTGGCCTGCTTTAGGTCCAGAGGCGTGTCTGAAGACACCAGTGTGCGCACCAAAAGTCGCCTCTTCTCCTGACTTTCTCTTCAGCCATTGGGACCAAGAGAGAGAGAGAGAGAGAGCCCCTCCGGCTGGAGGTATCTCCCACCTCCGCTCCCTCCTTTGTTTTTGCGCCTACCTTCAGGAAAGGTGGGCATCTCCACCTCTCTCTCTCTCTCTTGGTCCCAATGGCTGAGGAGAAAGTCAGGAGAAGAGGTGACTTTTGGTGCACACGCCGGGGTCTTCAGGCATGCCTCTGGACCCAAAGCGGGCCAGGCAAGGGAGCAAGTGCGGCAAGTGTAGTTACTGGGATGTATAGTTCACCTACAATCAAAGAGCATTCTGAACTCCACCAATGATGGAATTGAACCAAATATGGCACACAGAACTCCCACGACAAACAGAAAATATATATCAATGATTGGTTGGGGGGAGGGGGGCGCCAAAATACTGTTTGCTTACCGTTGAAAATTACCTAGGGCTGCCTCTGCTTGTGGGCAGATGGTATTTGTGGCACAGGTTCCAATGGATCATTTTAGCAATGGTGTTGTGCCTCTGCTTGTAGTCTGTCTGCGTGATCTTCTTGCAGCAGCTGAGGATGTGATGCATCGTTTCACCCACTTCCTTGCAGAGTCTACACTTAGGATTTGTCATCGACTTTTCAATTCTAGCTTTGATGGCAATTATTATTATTATTATTATTATTATTATTATTATTAGCAGTGTTGTTGTTGAAGGTTTTCAGGCCAGGTGCCTAAGTCTCAGCTCTGTTGCAGGGCAAGTGAACTTCACGGCCTTCTTCTTTGCCATGGTGACCGACGCTTGCCTGGTGGGCTGCCTCTTCTGTGCCGGGTTCCTGCTCTTCCACGGCCTGCTGGTGCTTCGGGGCCAGACCACCAAGGAGTGGTTCGAAGGCGACCGCAAGTATGACATCGGTTGGCGGGGAAACCTCCGGGAAATCCTGGGCGAACGCTGGCACCTCGCGTTGTTCACCCCTTTCGTGGCTTCTCCTTTGCCGGGAGACGGCATCACTTTCCGAACCCGGCCTCCCAAATTGGAGCCCCTCCCCAAAACCCGCGACCTCTAAAGGTAAGTTCCCTGATGGTTAATTTTAACTCAAGTCTTGCCTGTAAGACGCCATGTCGGAATAGCCAACATGTGGAATGAGTCAACCAGCATCACAACACTTAACATTTGTACATTGTTTTGTGCTTTTTATGCATTGACTGGCTTTAACTGTTTATTTTTAATACTGTGGATATTTAGTTTCTTTTTAACGTTTCTATGTTGTTTGGGGTTTTAAAATTGTATAAGCCACTTTGGGTCTCTTTTTTGGAGGGAAAAAGTGAGTATAAATATTAATGATAACAATAATAATAATAATAATTTTATAGTTTTCTAGTATAAGTAATAATAATATCTGATAGTTTTGTAGTTATAATAATAACAATTTTCTAATTTTGTTTTAATAATTATAGTTTTCTATAATACATAACAATAATAATTTTATAGTTTTCTAGTATTGTTAATAATACATTTCTAGTTTTGTAGCATATATAACAATAATAATGTTCTAATTTGAAAAATAATAGTAATAATTTTCTAGTATTCTGGTAATAATAATAATATTTTTCTAATTTGCTAGTATAAATAATAATAATAATAATTTTCTAATATTCTAATATTAATAATTGTAATAATGTTCTAGTTTTCTAGCATACATAACCATAATAATTTTCTAGTTTTCTAGTATCAATAATAATAATAATCTAATATTTACTGTAAGTTTCTAATGTTAATAGCAATAATTTTACAGTTTTCTAGCATAAACAACCATAATTTCTCATTTCTAGTATCAATCATAATAATTTTCTAATATTAATAATTGTAATAATTTTATAGTTTCTAGCATACATAACAATAATATTTTTTAGTTTTCTAGTATAAATAATAACAATTTTCTAATTTTCATATATAAATAATAATACATTTTAATTTTCTAGCAATACTAATAATTTCCTATTTTTCCAATATTAATAATTGTTATAATCTTATAGTTTTCTAGCATACATAACAATAATTGTTTTCTAGTTTTCTTATATAAATAATAATAATTTTCTAATTTTAGTATAAATAATAATAATAATAATGTTAAAACAATCCTTTTATTGATTATAAGTAAAAAAAAAAAAGAGTAAAGCAAAAAGCACTTTAAAGAAACGGGTAAGTCCAATTAGGGAAGAAGATAAGCAGGAGCAAATTAGTCCAAGGTAGAGTTCAGCAAAGTCCATAAAAGCAAAGTCCACATAAGTCTAATACAATCCAGAAAATCAGAAATAAAAATGGGTAAGCAATCATGAATTCCAGGAATCAAAACCATGAAACAAGAAATATTTTAGCATGCATCTTTAAAGCAAGGCTTCCATGAACAAGGACAAGAACTTGGCGTGATTCTAAACGATGCTTCATCTGACTACACATCCCAAGCTTGAGACTTTTATCCCCTCGTTAGCTAGGTCACTAGCGGTCAGAAATTGGTTTCTCTTTAATTGAAGCTTTGTTATCGTTTTTTGGCAGAGCTTGGCAGAGCGCCGAAGCCATTGCTCAGCTCTCCTGTTTTGACTAATCTCTTCTCGCCTATCTCTGGGCTCATTATCTACTTGCTCGTTAACTTTTGCAGCTGGGCCAGGTGCTGAGCTGTTTTCATGTTCTCTCTGATGAGAACTCTCTGGTAACAATTCAGAAAACACACCATCATCCCCACTCCCCTCAGGGACATTCTCATGGGAAACTACAGGGATCTCCTGGGCATTCTCTGCATCAATATCACTGACCAAACCATTGCCATCTTGAAAAACTAATCTTGAACCTCATTAACATTTATTTATTGACAGTATTTATATTCCAGCCTTCTCACTGCACAGGGGACTCAGGGCAGATTACAATGTACATATACATGGCAAACATTCAATGCCATAGACCAGGGGTCCTCAAACTACAGCCCGCGGGCCGAATACGGCCCTCCAAGGTCATTTACGTGGCCCTTACTCAGGGTCAACCTAAGTCTGAAATGACTTTAAAGCACACAACAATAACAACAATCCTACCTCATCAGCCCAAAACAGGCCCACACTTATATTTGTTAGAATTGTTCTTAATTTTAATTTTTGTATTGTTTTAAAGTGTTTTTTGCACTACAAATAAGATATGTGCAGTGTGGAACTCATACATGCCTTTTTCAAATTACTGTATATACTCGAGTATAAGCCTAGTTTTTCAGACCCTTTTTTTAGGCTGAAAAAGCGCCCCTCGGCTTATACTCAAGTCAAGGTTATTTATTATTTTGTTGTTGTTCATTCATTCAGTTGTCTCCGACTCTTCGTGACCTCATGGACCAGCCCACGCCAGAGCTCCCTGTCGGCCGTCACCACCCCCAGCTCCTTCAAGGTCAGTCCAGTCACTTCAAGGATGCCATCCATCCATCTTGCCCTTGGTCGGCCCCTCTTCCTTTTGCCTTCCACTTTCCCCAGCATAATTGTCTTCTCTAGGCTTTGTTGTTTTCTCATGATGTGGCCAAAGTACTTCAACTTTATTATTTTACTCTGTTATAAATACATAATAAATTCATTATTATTATTACATTTATTATTTTACTTTATTGTTGTTATTATTGCATTTATTATTTTACTCTTTTTATTATTATTGTCAATATTACATTTCCATTATATCACTATTATTATTATTACCTTTATTATTTTAATCTATTTTTATTTTAATGTATTTATACACAAGCACATTTACATTGAAGAAGATCAGAATGATTTAATCAGAGTTGGGCAGTGTTATCTTAAATATTCAAAAACATTTAACCTCTTGATGCCTCAATTATTTTTATTTTTATTTTGAAATTTTATTTTGAAATTTACCAATAGTTGCTGCATTTCCTACCCTCGGCTTATACTCGAGTCAATCAATTTTCCCAGTTTTTTGTGGTAAAATTAGGTACCTCGGCTTATATTCGGGTCGGGTTATACTCAAGTATATACGGTATAATCCAGCCCTCCAACAGTTTGAGGGACTGTGACCTGGCCCTCTGTTTAAAAAGTTTGAGGACCCCTTCTATAGACACACAACATATATAGGCAGACACAGAGGTAATTTAACTTTTCATGAGGGTATTCTGGTCACCAGAGGAGCTGTTTTTTCTCTCTCTCCCGAATAGATATATGAAAGAAAATATTCGCACAGTATTGGATCTTCTGGAATACTATGAAGTTAACCACCAAAAAGAATTTGCCATATTGTCAATAGACACTGAAAAAGCCTTTGATAATTTAAATTGGGACTTTTTAAAGACATTAATACAGGAATTGGATATGGGAGACAAGTTTATTAATGCAGTTAATGCTATTTATAATGATCAAAAAGCGAAAGTTAAGATAAATGGTCAAATAACAGAAGAATTCACTATTTCAAAGGGCACGAGACAAGGGTGCCCTCTATCCCCATTAATATTCATAATCGCTTTGGAAGTTCTGATGAAAAAAATTAGATAAGATGGAAATGTCAAAGGAGCAAAAATTGGGAAATTCGAATACAAAATTCGAGCTTTCGCAGATGATCTGTTAGGAATTATTGAGGAAGTACTTCCTCATTCTTTGCATGCTTGCTGGAGATTTTTATGGCGTCGTAAATTAAATTAGCCTCCCCGCGGAGGTGGTACCTAAATTTCCTATTTGACAGATGAAACTGTCTTTCGGGCTGCAAAGGTCGACAGCAAACTACACAAATTGACGGAATGTTGGATAAGCGAAGGTTGGATAAGCAAGAGTCTATGGTATATAGCTAGCAAGTAATCTGGAAATCACAGCTTGTTTTCTCTTTCTTCTTAAAGGGTTCCTGCGCTGTTTGACGGGAGAACAATGGCGGTCTCGACTTGGAACACCGATGATTTTTAAAAAGACGAGCGGTTGTCAAAGTGTTTTCCTTTGTGAGGCGTTGGTTACATCCATGACCTGAATATGGACGTTTTCCCACAATGGGGATGGTCTTTGGGGCCTTGGAAATGGTCTGAAAAAGGAGGAAGCAGAGTTGTAGTTCAGGCTCCGCTCACCTCGTGCTGGTGGCTTGATACTGGGATCAAAATCCGTGGCTTTCTTGCCGACCCATGTTTATAATTTCCGTTTGCATTCAGGGTCCTTCCTTTCCATGGCAGCATTCCACTTTGCATTCCTATCGTATTGTTTACTGATCTCCGTTTCCTTTGGCATCCTCCATTGCAACATTCCGTTTTTATATTCCATGAGATTGATTATTGAATCCTTTCAAATCCTGTCGGTTTTTTGTCTTTCTTTGCCTCTATGTCCCACACTTTGCAAGGACAACACTATAGCTATAGAGTTATGGGAATTGTAGTTATACCACGCCTTTAGCCACCTGCTGCCTCAAGTTATAACTACGAGGGTTGAATGAAAAGTAATGCCTCCACCATCGTAACTCCTCAACAGATGGCAGTGCTGGTATGCGGCAGGTACTGGCTTGTTCAGTAGACTCTCCTCTACAGTTCCATTTTAGTGGGAAGCCTTAGCATTGAATGGTTGTGTTGTTCAAGTGCAAAGTATGGGACCCTGCGCAGATGGTCAGTCAATGCAACTTAAGCAACGTATGCAACAGGTACTGGCTTGTTCAGTAGACTCTCCTCTACAGTTCCATTTTCTTCAGTAGACTCTCCTCTACAGTTCCATTGAACAGTAGCATTGAACAGTTGTGTTGTTACAGTGTGAAGTAGGCAGCCCTTTGCAGACGGTCGGTCAATGCAACTTAAGCAACGTATGCAACAGGTACTGGCTTGTTCAGTAGACTCTCCTCTACAGTACCATTTTGTTCAGTAGACTGTCCTCTACAGTTCCATTGAACAGTAGCATTGAACAGTTGTGTTGTTACAGTGTGAAGTAGGCAGCCCTTTGCAGACGGTCAGTCAATGCAACTTAAGCAACGTATGCAGCAGGTACTGGCTTGTTCAGTAGACTCTCCTCTACAGTTCCATTTTGTTCAGTAGACTCTCCTCTACAGTTCCATTGAACAGTAGCATTGAATGGTTGTGTTGTTACAGTGCAAAGTATGGAACCATGTGCAGATGGTCAGTCAGTGCGACTTAAGCAACATATGTGGCAGGTACTGGCTTGTTCAGTAGACTCTCCTCTATAGTTCCATTTTGGCAGGAAGCCTTAGCATTGAACAGTTGTGTTGTTAAAGTGTGAAGTATGGAACTCTGCGCAGACGGTCAGTCAATGCGACTTAACATATGCAGCAGGTACTGACTTATTCAGTAGACTCTCCTCTACAGTTCCATTTTGGTGGGAAGCCTTAGCATTGAACGGTTGTGTTGTTAAAGTGCGAAGTATGGAACCCTGCGCAGTCATTGAATTCTTGACAGCAGAAGGTGTCACCCCAAAGCAGATTCATCAGAGAATGCAAGTTGTTTATGGTAATTGTGTTGATGTGAGTATTGTGCATCGTTGGGCGAGTAAATTTAAAGATATTGAGGTGACACCTTCTGTGGTCAAGAATTCAATGACTACAAGTAGCTTAAGTCGCATTGACTGACCGTATACTTCACACTGTAACAACACAACCATTCAATGCTAAGGCTTCATGACAAAATGGAACTGTAGAGGAGAGTCTACTGAACAAGCCAGTACCTGCCACATACGGTGCTTAAGTCGCATTGACCGACCATCTGCGCAGGGCTGCATTCTTCACACTGTAACAACACATCTGTTCAATGCTAGGGCTTCCTGCCAAAACTGAACTGTCGCGGAGAGTCTACTGAACAAGCCAGTACCTGCTGTATACGTTGCTTAAGTCGCATTGACTGACCATCTGCGCAGGGTTCCATACTTCGCACTGTAACAACACAACCGTTCAATGCTAAAGCTTCCTGCCAAAATGGAACTGTAGAGGAGCATCTACTAAATAAGCCAGTACCTGCCACATACGGTGCTTAAGTCGCATTGACCGACCATCTGCGCGGGGTTCCATACTTCGCACTTTAACAACGCAACCGTTCAATGCTAAGGCTTCCTGCCAAAATGGAACTGTAGAGGAGAGTCTACTGAACAAGCCAGTACCTGCCGCATACGTTGCTTAAGTCGCATTGACCGACCGTCTGCGCAGGGTTCCATACTTCACACTTTAACAACACAACCGTTCAATGCTAAGGTTTTCTGCCAAAATGGAACTATAGAGGAGAGTCTACTGAACAAGCCAGTACCTGCCGCATACCAGAACTGGCATCTATTGACGAGTTAGGAAGGTGGAGGCATTACTTTTCATTCAACCCTTGTACAACTCCCAGCCTTCCATAGCAGTGAGCCATGGGGAGTTAAAGTAGTGTCAAACTGGATTTGTTGTATAATGTAGAGCAGGCCTTGGGCCCAACAGGTGTTTTGGACTTCAACTCCCACAATTCCTAACACCTTCCTTTTCCCGTAACCCTTTCCTACGGCACACAGTAAACAGAAAGGAATTCAATAGTAAATGAACAGATTGGAGGGGTTTGAAGTTGGATTTCAACCATTATTGAAGGGGGTCAGAGTCCTCTGCCTTGCTTCAGGGTGAACTACAACTCCCATCCTGTTGAGTCAGTCCCCCAAACCCCTCCAGTCTGTTCGGTTGTTGATCAATTCCTCTCTGATTGATGTACACTATAGGAAAGAGTTATGGGAAAAGTAAAGGGCCTGAAACTGTTAGGAATTGTGGGAGTTGAAGTCCAAAACACCTGGAGGGCCCAAGTTGATCTATGCTTGGTGTAGAGCGTGACCTTGACCTGGTGCCTTCTTCTCATTGGTCTACTTCATGTCAAATTTTGTGGCTTTTCCATTCAATGTCCCATTGATCTGTCTTTTGATGTTCAGACACATTTTTTTGCACATTAAAATAACGACTTAAAGGTGAGAAACAAAAATAAAAATGTAATGTTGGTTTGTGGGATTCACATAACTCAAAAACCACTGGGCGAACTGACACCAAATTTGGACACAAGACACCTCTCAGGCCAACGAGTGACCATCACTCATAAAAACACTGAAATACACAGTGGAAGAGACTTAAAAAGCCAAAAAACCCCAAAAAATATGGTGAAAATTTCAGAACTCTAACAAAATTCTCAAAATTTCGTTATAAATGCCAGTTCCTAATTGGTTAACCGATAATGAAATAAATAATGAAATTTTGAAAGTTTTGTTAGAGTTCTGAAATTTTCACCACCAGAACTTTAGTTTTGTAAGTAGTTTAGAACTATTTAGAACCATGGATTGCCCAGGCCTAATATACCCGCAAACACACATATATACACAAATATATACACACACGAGCCCTAGGGTAGTGGCGGCATATAAGTTTGAAATATAAATAAATAAAAATACACACACACACACACAAGGCCTGGGTAATCCATGGTTCTAAAGTACTTACAAAGCTAAAGTTCTGGTGGTGAAAATTTCAGAACTCTAACAAAACTCTCAAAATTTCATTATAAATGGCAGTTCCTAATTGGTTCTGTCATAAAAATCACCAATAATGAAATAATAATTAAATTTTGAAAGTTTTGTTAGAGTTCTGAAATTTTCACCACCAGAACTTTAGTTTTGTAAGTACTTTACAACCATTTAGAATCATGGATTGCCGCAGGCCTAATATACATGCAAACACACATATATACACAAATATATACACACACGAGCCCTAGGGTAGTGGCGGCATATAAGTTTGAAATATAAATAAATAAAAATACACACACACACACACAAGGCCTGGGTAATCCATGGTTCTAAAGTACTTACAAAGCTAAAGTTCTGGTGGTGAAAATTTCAGAACTCTAACAAAACTCTCAAAATGTCATTATAAACGGCAGTTCCTAATTGGTTCTGTCATTAAAATCACCAATAATGAAATAATAATTAAATTTTGAAAGTTTTGTTGGAGTTCTGAAATTTTCACCACCAGAACTTTAGTTTTGTAAGTACTTTAGAACTATTCAGAACCATAGATTGCCTAGGCCTAATATACACGCAAACACACATATATACACATATACACAAAAATATACACAACCCTGCCATACGCCTGTGAGACGTGGACTGTCTACAGATGTCACACTCAACTGGAACGATTCCATCAGCACTGCCTCCGGAAAATCCTGCAAATCTCTTGGGAAGACGAGCAGACAAATGTCAGCGTGCTGGAAGAAGAAGCAGAGACCACCAGCATTGAAGCGATGATCCTCCACCATCAACTCCGCTGGACCGGATGCCCGACCACCGTCTCCCAAAGCAGTTGCTCTACTCCGAACTCAAGAACGGAAAACGAAATGTTGGAGGGCAGGACAAGAGATTGAAAGATGGGTTCAAAACTCTGGCATGGACACTGAGAACTGGGAAGCTGTGGCCCTTGAGCACTCCAGCTGGAGCTCAGCTGTGACCAGCAGTGCTGTAGAATTTGAAGACTGCGAAAGAGAGAAACGTACCAAGAGGAAGGCGCGTCAAGCCAACCCCGACCGAGACCGCCTTCCACATGGAAACTGATGCCCTCACTGCGGGAGAAGATGCAGGTCAAGAATAGGGCTCCACGGTCACTTACGGACACTGACCTTGGAAGATTATCCTACGCAGACGACGAGGGATTGCCGAAGTAAATAAGTATCAATCTTTGGTTAGGATCCATGACTTTCCATCCCGTGTATTGCCAAAGGTTTCCGTAGCAACCGTCTAGGATGCTTTGTTTCAGAATCCCGTCGCCCCGGCAACCGAGAGGGCAGCATCCGCCACTCCCGTTCCACGTTGTCGTCGTGGGGGCCATGCTGGACCCTCATCGCCGGTCGGTGCTGACCAACGCGTGCGTCAAAGCCGCGGTCGACCCCATTACGCGGACCCCCGGCACCATCTATGAGCCCAAGGGCCAA